GAGAGAGAGGGAGACACAGAATCGGAAGCAAGTCCAGGCTCTGAGCTGTCAGCACAGAGCCCGATGTGGGGCTCGAACCCACAAACTGTGAGATCATGACTCAAGCCGAAGTCGGGTGCTCAACTGACTGAGCCACCCAGGCACCCCATGTCCGGGCTTTTTTTGCCCCACAGCCAGTGTTTTAGACCCATAGGGGTGCTATCTTTATGGAGAACACATGTCTAAGAGGTGAAAGTGTTTCTGCCAGGTCCAGTTTGTCCAGGGCCTGACTCAGATAGTAGACAGCCTTCCCCAAACCAGGAGCCTCACCACTGATAAATAGAGTTGCCAGATTTAGCACACAAAATCTATTGAATGCCCAGTTAATTTAAGCTTCAGATAAACAACATAATATTTTTAGTAAAAGTATGTATTTTTTTTAAGTTTATTTATTTTGAAAGAGAGAATATGTGCACACAATGGGGGAAGGAGCAGAGAAAGAGGGAGAGAATTCTGAGCCCCATGCGGGGTTCAATCTCACGAACCACTGTGAGATCATGACCTGAGCCAAGATCAAGAATTGGACTTTTAACTGACTGAGCCACTTAGACGCCCCAGTAAAAGTATGTCTTATGTGCTATTTATGCATCTTATATTCTATCTGGTAATACTACTGGCATTTTGGGGGTAGAAACTGCACTTTCTGCTAAAGTACAATTTTTTGCAAACTGGAAGAATATGTACCTTAATTTATGTGTACCTCCTGGACCAAAGGGATACCAGATCACTAATAAAGTTTTGTTTATATGAGCTCATTTCAACAAAGGTCATCAGTAACAGTCATAAATATGATGTGGTTCTTTTTAAAATAACAAAGCAGCTTTTACCTTAAATTTTATGTGAAAAGTGTGTACAATTTACAAGTGACAAAATAGACATGGGATGAATCTAGTGGTACCAAGGTTTCACAGGAGATTGTTGGAGTAAATCATGGGGTAGGATGCTCTTGTGACATTCCTGCTTAGTGAATTGCAACAAAATGCAATTCCAAATGCAGACAGCTAGAACACTGCAGAAAGGTGAAGACAACTTCTTTCTCACTGGCCCTGAAACACAGTCATAATATACTTTTATCATGCACAAACTAAAGTGCCTTATGATTTCCCACTCATAATTGGTGACCCAAGAAAATGTTAAGAGTTACAAAAGTGTGTGTCACCTTGTCATGGATGCCACAAGTTGGGTGAGGCTCAAAGTCAGCACTTCCGTAGTTCAGTAATAAGCAATAAGTATGCTCAGCTGTGTCTACAGGAAACAGAAAAGGGTGCATGTTTGGAGAGGTCTCACATGTAGACAGCTAGTTTCTTAGCTTTTTCTTTTTAACTGTGGTAAAAAACAAACCCCATATAACAAAATTTACCATCTTAATAAGTATACAGTTCACTAGTGTTAAATAGATTCACATTGCTCTGCATCCTTTAAACAATTCCTTTGTCTCCTCTATGCTCCTTTCTGTGTCTGTGAACATGACTACTTTCAGACCTTAAAAATGTGGCCATTTTCATGGGAGGCTTGCCTGGAAGCTGGGTGAGAAGAGCTTCCAGGCTAGAACATCTAGAGTGGTGCTGACCTCTCCTCTGTGTCAGCTATATGTGTAGAGCTGTTTCAACACCGTGCAGAGCTACCTGAGGTTTATGGAGTGGTCCAGGGCAGTCTGCTGGACTCTGTTCTTACTCATCCATGTTTCTGCTTCTATTCCAACCTAGATGACGCCAGAGGAAGGCATCAAAAGAAAATCCGAAGCAAGACTCAGAATTACCTCAACCTGTACGCAGTGGAAGGTCTGCGCACTTTGTGCATTGCCAAAAGGGTGAGTGGGTGCCCCCTCCACAAGTGCACGTGCTGACCACTGCCCCAACAGTGCTCAGCACCTGCATTGGATTCATCAGTGTGTCTCATGTAGGTTCTGAGTGAAGAAGAGTATGCCTGTTGGTTGCAAAGTCATTTAGAAGCAGAATCCTCCCTGGACAATCGTGAAGAGCTTCTCTTCCAGTCTGCCATTCGCCTGGAAACAAATTTGCATCTGTTGGGTAATTATGCACATGAGCTTGCGTTGCACTGAGCAGTATGGAATTTGCAGAGACAGTTCTGGATGGTGAGGTGACATGGCTCCAGTCTCTGGCAGCTCTTCACATGCTGGCCTTGATTAAGGAATTGCCTGGCCTGATGCTAGCATGGCTCCCAGGACCAACCATCCTTGATTGAACATTCACACCATGTCCCGTTTCTTGATGTTCTATGTACTGTCCCACTAGACACCCAGTGACAACACCTGACTTGCCTTCCCTTAAACACTGCTTTCCCACAGAAATAGAGATGAGGAACAAGGCTTCTCAACAATTGATGCTTATTGAGTCTACCTCCTACCCCTAAGTCAAAAAGAAACTGTTGGACTCCAGAAATGGCTGCACTTTATGTCTTATGAATGTTTCATGGATTCAATTTGGTTGAAAAAGAAAATGAGCTCATTTTTTACTAAAATGTGCTCATATTTACTACTGTGTTCATATTAGTATTTATAAGAGTATTTATTTTAATATTTAAAATATTTAATATTAAATTTGTATTAAATTAGCTGAGTCTTTGTATACATGGTCTCTGTGACTGCACCGTTTGTAATCATGCTGTATATACACACACTACATCCTGTGGTGCTAGTAGTCAGATGGTATACCTGGGGCATGGAGAAACTGGAGTTCATCTCTTCATTCAATACAGAGAGGCTGTAATTCATTTGCCCTTGTTCCCTGGACAAAGGAATTGGGCTACCTACATATCTATATATACATACCTAATATAACATTTAATTCATCTTAATAATATATTTAGTAGCATAACATACATACTTTATATAATATTCTTTTCTGCCTGTGGTATCCTATAAGAGGGCATGCACTGCGCAAAAAAGGCCCAAGATCCAGAGGCCCAGAGACATCATTAGCAGTATCCCTGGGAGTGATTAAATGAAAACACTTGGAAACAGTTTTTTCTAGTCTGCCAGGTTTTGATTTACTGAGCTAGGACTGTTCACATCTAGAACATGCTTCTCCAAAACAGATGAGACCCTTTGGCAAGGCAGGGGATCCTGTTTGTCCTCTTGGCCTGAGGACAGGTGTGCCTGTCTAAGTTCTCTGACCCTTCACTGTGGGGCACTCTCCCTGGAGAGCTCTGACTCTTGAGTGGAGTAAAATTTGCCTCCCCAGTTTCTTCTTCCAGTGGACACTTGTCCTACCCTCTGGAGCAACACAGATAAAATCTCTTCCCCTTCCAAGAAGGTAAGACCTTAACTATTTGAGGACTTGGCTGTGAGCCCCTAGTCTGTCTCTTCACCTATACTATTTCACTCCTACCTTTCCTTTTTTTCAGAGGCTAGGAGCCTTGGCTTGGTTGTTCAGTCCTGGCTTCGTCATTTACTGGCCATGAGAGCCTGGGCATGTGACTCTGTCTTTTGACATCCCAGTTTCCTTCTGCTGGGTGATAATTCTCTGGGGTGAACAGAAGGGCTGCAGTGGAGCACTGAGTGAGAAACAGGCACAGGATCCAGTACTTAGCCGCATGTGGTGATGTGTCTTTAAGTTATTGAATGCTTTTTGTAGGTCAATTATACCTTGACTCCACCCTCCTTGCATCTGCCAACTCATCTGTTTTAGGAAGAGAAAAGGAAGTGGTGTCTATCTTAATCATTTCAGGCTGCCATAACAAAATAATACATACTGGACAGCTCAAATAACAGACATTGCTTTCTCATAGTTATGGAGACTGAAGTCCCATATCAAAGTACTGGCCATTTTGGTTCCTTAAAGGGCTGTCTTGCTGGTTTGCAGATGACTGTCCTCCTTCTGTATCCATAAATGGTAGAGAGAGATCATCTCTCCTGTGTCCCTTATTATAAGTGCACTAACCCCATTCATGAGTGTTCCACTCTGATGACCTAATCACCTCCCCAAGGCACCACCTCCTAATGCCATCACCCTGAGGGTTAGGGCTTCAACCTATGAGTTTTGGGAGTAGTGGTACACATTCAGCCCATAGCAGCCTCTTATCACAGGGATGAGTATGGCATAAAAGAGAAAGGTAGGGCTGATGAGGGGCCCTCAGTCAATGTTGTACTTTAAGAGGGGAGATAGAGACAATCTCATTATGTTGGCAACAGGAACAAAACTGAGGCTAGCCTGGAGAGCATCTTTTGGCACTGAGTAGATTTGTTCCAATATACAGAGGCCTACCTAGGGAAAGCCACTGCTTATTACTTACATTTATGGGGACGGTACCTTCTGGATAACATTGCTTTCAAGAAATAATGGCTTGTGTGGTCTGTGTAGACAGATAATGGTAAGCATTGCTGAGAGCAAATATTGTGGATGTCATTCACCAGAAATTTTACATGGAATGGATAATTTTTAAAGCTTTTTCATCCTTCAGAATATGGTCATTATAAACATTTCCCCACAAGATTTGTTTCCATGTTATCTATTAAGTTAAAAATTAGCTGCATGTTAGAAAACATTGGAAGTGCTTTGTTGTTGGCAAATGAACAGAGAATTGTGTTTAGTGCCTCAGTTATTCTGACTCATTCTTGACTGTGTCAATCGAGGGAGTTATTGAAAGGGTTTACCACTGTCCTGAAATGATGAATTATCAAAGACTGCTTCCACATGAGACCAGCCTCAAGTTGCTCCCAGTCTATGGGGTCATGCCAGCATCTTTGGTGTGTTGGTGATGGCATTCGTACCCCATCAGGGTCTGGGGGAATGTGAGGAGGGGGATCACATACACTGTTGCACATTTGACCAGGTGCTACTGGGATTGAAGACCGCCTGCAGGATGGAGTCCCAGAGACCATTGCTAAATTGCGTCAAGCAGGCCTGCAGATTTGGGTTCTCACCGGTGACAAACAAGAAACCGCTATTAACATTGCATATGCCTGCAAACTGCTGGACCATGATGAGGAAGTCATCACCCTGAATGCTGAGTCCCAGGTGTGTATGTTTCCAGGAGCCTGTGTTCTACCTGGGACAGCTTCATACCCAACTAGCCCCCACAGCAACAGGAATGTTTTCAATTTCTGACAACTGCTATGAGAGGACTTTGCCCTCTACCTCTCTGTTTACACCTGTGTTGTGTTTCTGGCACTTAGAATGTTTTTGTCATTGCCTAGGAAGGTGTGGAATTTGCTGGAATTTCTTAATTTCAAAGGGACATACATCTGGACTTTACAAATGCAAAGTTCAACTTGTTTTCCCTGACCTGTCCATGTCAACAATGTTGGAGAAGTCTTTTATGAGGTCACATGAGCCAGGGAACCAGTCCATTCAGCACTGATGTACTCAGGACAGGATGGGTTGTCTCATTGATGCCCCACTGTGCACTGAGGGTTTTGATCCAATCACATTTATCTATTAAATCATCAAGTATGTAGGGATTATCTCCTTCTCATAAAGCCCTGGTCTGGGCTCTGATTCCTTGAATGAGATCCCACTTGAAACATCTTTTTGAACTGGATGATGAGGTCCAATTCATCAACTTTTTCTTTAAAAAAAAATTTTTTAATATTTATTTATTTTTGAGAGAGCATGCACGCACATGAGTGGGGGAGGGGAAGAGAGAGAGAGAGAGAAACAGAATCTGAAGCAGCCTCCAGGCTCTGAGCTGTCAGCACAGAGCCCAATGTGGGGCTTGAACTCACAAACTGAGATCATGACCTGAGCCAAAGTCTTGTCTCACTCACTTTTCTAAGTACAAGAGTTCCTCAATAAGCACTTACTGAACACAGCTGGATTTTCAGGGTGTATTGCAGGAAATCGATTGCTTACCCAGTGGGCTTACTGTCTATAAAGGGCCAAGAACTACTTGCCTTCCCTGGAGTGTGTTTGTTTCTGGAAATAGTTGTCTTTCTTATGTCCCCTGACCCCTCAGGTTCCCCATTAAATGTTCCTATTCTTTCTGGAATTCAGGTACAGTTTTGAAAGGGCATTGTCAGTAAAAGCCTTTTGTATGCTTGTTAAAAAATTTATTTCCCTGGTCAACTGGAGACATTAGGGAAACACTGATAATTACACTTCCTTAGAGGATGATCATAACAAAGACTTTTAAAGGGCTTTGTACCTCAAGAAGAAACAAGAAGGGCTGAGTAAAGGCCTCAGAGAGCCAGGGAGAAGTACATATAAGGCTTCCTCGCCTAACCAGCCAGCAGTTTAGCCACATACATTCAGACCTTCCAAAATGAAGATATTCTATCTAACCTCCACATAGTACAATGGGAAATTAAAAGTAGAATCTTATCAAAACCCTACAAGTTCATCCTCTTCAATGTGGAAAGTCTTCATCTTCAACTAACTTCCCAGTTTCAGGAGGGAGGCCTTCTGGGCAGAGCCTGCAGCCTGGTGCCCTCGCGATGATCAGACTTTGAGTGTCAAGGAAGGTAATCTGTGGCGCAGCTGAATGAATTGCACTGTCCTCTCATGCCCATTTCAGGAGGCCTGTGAGGCCCTGCTAGACCAGTGCCTACACTACGTGCAGTCCAGGAGCCCCCGCATTGCCCCTGAGAAGACCACAGACAACGTGAGCGTGGGGTTCTCCCCTCTCTGCCCACCCTCCACGTCTACCACCTCTGGCCCCAGCCCGAGCCTCGTGATCGACGGGAGAAGTCTGGCCTATGCCCTTGAGAAAAACCTAGAAGACAAATTTCTCTTTCTCGCTAAGCAGTGCCGGTCAGTCCTTTGCTGTCGCTCGACACCTCTGCAGAAGAGTATGGTGGTGAAACTGGTCAGAAGCAAGCTCAAGGCCATGACCCTGGCCATAGGCAAGTATCCAGGCTAGCCAGGCAGGGCCCTGTGTAAATGAGTAGCCCCCATCTTGTGCAGCTGCTTCCTGCATTTTCCACCCCTTCTATGCTCTCCTGTAAGACAGAGAAACATTTCCTTGCTCTTTTTCCTATTCTTAAAATCACACCTAATACAATAAAACAGACATCCTGTTTGAAATACAAAATGTAGATTTGAAAATTACAAACTATGGTAGCAACAGTTATAGCTATATATAGGAAGCCAGTAATACAATGATGGTTTAAGAAGACAGAACTTATATAGTGTTTCCTGCAAGACAGGAAACTAGAGATCGGCCATTCCAGGCAGCCTCAGCCACAGCAGAGCCCTGCATTCTAGCCATTACCCAAGAACACCTTAGAAAGAAGGCCCTTTGCAGGTGTTTCCGGTCACTGTGAGCCAACTGGAGTCCCAAGACTCCATAATGCTACAAGAGCCCAAAGACTTGATGGTGATCATAATTCCCACTGCCTCTTATCCTTTGAATTTTGCTGAATGTTCCAAGACAAGCATGTAATTAAATGTAATTCACATGTAATTCACATAAGCATGTGAATAGTTGCTAAATCTTACATCCTTTCTTTAAGGACTGTGCATCTAATGGTGGCTTTTCCTTGCAGACTGTTGGCCTGGAGAGTTTTCTAGGCTCCTATCCAGTGCTACCTGGTCCTCCCCTGTCTCCTCCTCCCAGGGCACCATCCCCACCCACATCTGGTTGGGTGGGGTCTGGTCTCCAACCAGGTTCAGGGACTCAGCAGCACCACTTGCTGGTGAGGGCTGGGAAAGACTGGATAGCCTGGGGAAAAGAGTGATCTCCTTGACCCCCAGATCTCAAAAATTTTGGTCTCCCTGAATATAGAATGCATACCTAGGTGAGATTTAGTTTTGAAATAAAGGGTCCTCACTAATCAATAATATTTATAGTATTTTCTGCAAAAGGTCTGTGACAGCCCCCCTTGTTGATGTGGGGGTTACTACCCTCTCACATTAGGATAGGGTTGAGGTTAGTGTAGAGTCTGGGTCTGAGGTCGGGGGGGCCTTAGTGTGGTTGTCATGGAGACAGCTCTGTACATCTTGAGGGATGTGGTAACCACTAAGGGGAGTGAGATGAGCATAGATGTGAATACATGTTTAGCCATGACTCCCTGGTCCAGGCTGTGGGAAGTCTCCATGGGTGGACCCCTTCCAAAGGAGGCTGTCTCAGTACCACCTTTGCTCCCATGTGTCTGGAGTGGCCTTCAGAGCTCCCTGAGCAAGTTTTGTAGGTGCTGAGGAGTGTGCAGGCTGGGTGCAGGCTTCTCTGAGCAACTCTTAGCAGTGACATGAGGACCATACCTCCTGGTAAGGTTGGTGTAAGACACAAATGAGTAAACCACATTTTCAAAGCTTACTCAGTGCCTGGATCAGTCACGGAATCACTGGTGTATGGTATTTATTTTTGAAAAATGGAGGTAGAGTCTTGGTTGGTTACAAAGAAAAGAAAAAACAAAATAGAATCTCAAAAGAGAAAGGGAAAGTAATGACCCATCAGAACTTTCGCTCATTTCTTTGACCATGAGTGAAAGCATTGATGGCACCTAGTCCCAGGTGTCTAGCAGTTAATAATGTAGAGAACATTATTGCCTCCCATATCTCACTTTGATTGGGACATTGTGGGAGAAGCTGCAGAGATTGTTACTACTTCACAGAATTTCAGTGTGACAAATATTGACTGATCACTCATGTTGGGCCAGCACAATAAAGAACAGGAAAATCATAGGACACAGATATCCTATAGCCACATTATGAATCACTCCAACTTGTATGTCTGCACTTTTTGCACATTTGAAACTTGGGAGGTACTCTGGGATTTGGGCCCTTCTATTGCCCCATTCCAAGAATGGTCATTGTCGCTTAGTGACAAAGACTTTAAGTCTCTGCTTGCTTTTCCCTGAAGATGATGAGACCTCTAACCTATGTTTTATGTTCCTAACCATTTTCTAACCATCAGCAGCTTGACTGAACAAATAGAAGTTCTTTATTACATCTTTAAAGGACCTAAAGGCAAGCACAATAGCTAACAAACTTGCTGGTAATCAGTGTACAAAAAGAACTCTACAGTTTGCTGGGCAGAATTTAACCTCCTTTGTTCAGTTCAGAAAGCCACTCCTGTTAGTATGAATTAGAATAGACTTGACTGATATATTCTACATGTGATAAAGGCTAGAGTTCAGTAAGTAATAATAATGGTGATGATACCATCTTTATTGTGCCAGACACCGCACTGTGTTATGGGCTCTCTGTATAGGTATATGAGCCAATAATGTAGACCAAATACTAAGTAAAATGGTTACCATGCGAGCCTGCTTTCTGAAACATCTCTTGATGTGACAGGCAGTTCCAAACCTCACACCATGTTTTTTTCTGACTGCTTAACTCAATTTCCTGGGCAAACTCTGTACCGCCTCTTCCTCACTCATCCCCATGACCCTTTCACAGGACTCAGCCCAATAGGGACCCCATGAAGATCCATCAAGCCATTTGATTCTGTGCACCTCAACTCAAACGATTCTTCCTGCCTGTGCTGTTTCTAGGAGATGGAGCCAATGATGTCAGCATGATCCAGGTGGCAGATGTGGGTGTGGGGATCTCAGGCCAGGAGGGCATGCAGGTAAAGACCAATCAGGACTGTCCTATGTGTCCAAGTGGCCCACTGACATACCTTGCTATGAACTTTGTCAAGTAAGCTAAAGGGTTGGCCTTTAATAAAACATGATGGTTGTAAGCCAGTAGTAGACGATAAGGTGGAAGATGGCTAGTCCTTCATGTTTATGAAGCAGTAAAAACCTTTGCCTATGTCTATAAGTATATTTTTGTGAAATAAGTGGAACAGAGTAAGGCAAGGTGAGTCATCACCGCTATGGCTATTTATGGCTCATCCTTGGAGGGCATATTTTGCTGTTCCTGAACATTAGAGATAACCATTTGAAAAAATGAATCTGCTGTAGGACAGTTGGAACCTGGTATCATTATAAAAATTGAAAGTAGCCATCTTGACTCACATGAAAATTAGTCTCTGCCTTTTTCATTTGTCACTATGTTGGTTCTCAACATGTGATTTATGTGTTGAACAACTGAGTTAATTAAAAATAACTTTCTTCTGGATGTAGTATCACAACAATTTCCAACATTTGATTAACTTTGAATCATGACATTTTTTTTTAACTTGGTGGAGATTTTAGAGAACAATCTATCCTGTTTTCTTCTCCTAAAAATCCAGATGTTGGTCACCATTTAGTCATTGGTTGATTCATTCATTGATGCAATCAGTAATTATTCATTGAACGCTTAATATGTGCCAGGTCTGTGCAGAACTCCTTAATTTCCTTACCTGACATGCAAATAATAGTAAGTTGGAAAGTCCTGAGCTAGAAACACAGTAGTTCCCTCTCGGCCCAATCTCAGCACATGCCTTACTCTCCTGCTCTCATCTGACCTCAGTCACTGTGCTATGTTACTTGTGTGGTTTTAATTCTTCCGTGAAACTAAAAATGCAGCCCAGGGTTGGTTCTATCCCTGCCTTTTAGTGCTGTGTGCCCAGGGGAAGGGGTTAGGGTGGTGAATTGATAAACATAATCATAATAGTTGGTTCATTTTGATGTTTTCATTATCGCCGCCATTGCATCGGTTTCCTGTAGTGAAAAGCTGACCAGGGCAGTGCCCATAAATAGTATATGCAAGAGAAATGCACCAAGTAAATACATTTTTTGTGAAAGATGGTCAGGTTTTTGGATGGGGAAGAGACTGATCTGCCACCACTACTCACTTCCTCAAGGCAGGGGCCAGAGAGATCCATGATTGAAATCATGTGAGAAGTGATGGGAACAGCCAAGCCATAGGGCACATACTGAGACAAAGCTTTGAGTGGGCATAACTTCCAGGTAGGATGTTGCTGGACACTTTTGCATTTATTAAAGGCACACTTCTTATTAAGGATGCATTAAGTAAGACGACAATAAGTCCTGATACCTTTTCTTACTGTTCTAAGTGCTCAGGTTCCCAGGGAATATTTACCTGCTTTCATTTTAGTCCAGTAAGTAAAGGTGAGCCCTTTGGAAGACAGACTTTGTGGGATGCTGTGGTAACAGTGACACTAGGAATCTGAGCAGATCGAGAATGAGTGAGAGTGTTTGGAGCTTCCCAGATTAGCCAACTGGGCATTTGTCTGGCCCAGTTACTTTAACTGTATAGAGCATGATGGGAGAAGCTATCCCAATTGGACAAAGGAGATCCTGCATCTCCAAGAAGCTTGGTCTTCATGGGGTCATCTAGTTCCCCATGTTTATTGATCACTTCATGGGGCCAAGCACTGACTCAGAACTCAGGATTCAGGGTGATCACAACCTCTACTATCCTGGCTCTCATGGAATGTCCAGAAAAAAGCTGGGAAGACAGATACATATTTTAAATGTTCACAAATAGTCACAATTGTAATAAATGCCATCAAAGAGAAACACTAGTTTCTGCATGGAGGATCTAACCTAGCTGGGATCCATCTTGACAGAGGGACAAACAGTGGGTTTGGGGCCTAGATTTGGAGGCAGGAAGGAGTGTCAGAAGTCTGGAGAGGAATACAAAGCCCTCCAAACCCCAGTGGTGACAGAAAGAGGTATAGAAACAGTATTTGCTTTGAAATCCTTAACTTTTGATTCAGAAAGCAGACGTTCTAAGGCTTCTCACTTTTCTGTCATGTATAATTACATTATTCTGATCCACAGAAGACCACATTAAGTGTGACCTACTATTTTCTAGGAGTTATTTGACTATAGGGAAATAAATGAAGCAGACTGACATTTTTGTATAGAACAGTCCTTCAAAGATGAGCAGAAATCTATCTTTTCCTGATATTTTCTTTAACTTTTTTTTCCCACATAGAAAAATTCATTATATGGTGGGGTCTAAGTTATTCTGGGTACAAAAGATATAATTTTGATGGCATTTGTCTGGCCCAGTTTAATTGTATAGAGCATGATGCTGAGTGAAGTGAGAGGAAGCTTCCACCCCCAGTCATCTTTCCTGTCCATGGAGGAAACCTGCTTTCCCCCACTGTCTTCTGGGTGGAGTGGACACCCATTGCCCTTTAGCGGCTTCCTGGGACTGGATTATGTGAAGGCCTGCAGAGCCATAGGCTTGGCCTTGCTTATCACCTGTGGCTCCTGAGGAGAAGGACCCAAAACATACCTATCCGGATGGTCAACTGCCAGGATGCATACAAAAGGGGCAGCTTTGGTTCATCTCTGGGTTGAGATCCTAATATGAATAAAACATCAGAGAGTGGAGAATAGCAGAGAAGCTGTGTACATCTCTGGGCTTTTGTTTTTGTTTTTTGCTTGTTAAAAAAAGCATTGGAAAACAAAAACTTGTAAAAATCAATTACATATATTTTAAATCTTAAATGACTTCTATAAAATGATATCCCTGAACTAGAGTGCTTGTTGAGATTGATTTTTTTTTTAACTGAACGAGATAATAAGGGAAATCCTGGTAAAGTGAGCCTTGGCCAGTCACATGTACATTTGTGTTTGAAACTGGATTTCTCCATGCATGTTTGCCTTGTATTTGGGGAAGATATGACAGACCTTAGGTGGAATAAGGTGTCAACAATAACAGGGACTTCTCTCCCTTTCAAGGCAGTGATGGCCAGTGACTTTGCAGTGCCGAGATTCCGATACCTTGAGAGACTCTTAATTGTTCATGGACATTGGTGCTATTCCCGACTTGCCAACATGGTGCTGTACTTCTTCTACAAAAATACAGTAGGTATTTGACACTTCTGGTTTCTAGAGTGTTTGAATTCAAAAAGCTTTAGCTGAGATTTATTGGACCATCACCTGAATGTGGCCCACTGGCCATCCCAAGGCTTCCTGTCGGTTCCATCCTCCTCAGCCTTTGTGAACTTCCCCCAGGCCTGGCCTGGGCTTGCACCCTATAGGCTCAGGAGTCTAACTCACAGGCACATGAGAGTAACTGCACCTCCAAGGGAGTAAGTTGTGGAAACAGGTGGATCAAACAAGAATGTCCACTTGTTTGCACAAGGTCACACAGCTAGTGAGTAGTCAGGCAGCATTTAACCCCAGTTCATCTGGCTCCCAACTCTTAACCACTCTGTTAATGTGTTTCTCAGGAGCAGACTGCTGAGGTGTCCACAGAGAGGAGTCCTCTGATCATTGCTCATTCTAGAGCAGTCAGGAAATCCAGTGACAAGTAGGAGTGTATTGGCAGTCCTGGAATCAGAATGACAGGACTTAGTCATGCTGTGATTCCAATATTGAACAGCCTCTGTTGAAACATACCCACACTGGGCCAGTGTGCCAGTCCCCTAGTCAGAATGCAAGCTTAGGGCCCGAGGAACAGCGCCACCAGCAGTGTCTTACCACACTCTCTTCTGTGCTGGTAGGGCAGACATGCCCCCTTCTGGCCAGCTCAGTCTGTAGTTGACGCTCCGGTTGGGTCATACCCAGGCTGGCTGATGACAGTTCTCTCTCCAGAGGCTCTAATCCAGGACGTTTCTCCATTTCATGTTGATCCTAATGTTTAATTCTTAGTTCTTTTATTACTAAGACCTTGGCAGACAAGCGTCTTTCTCCATAGCCCTCCAGAATGGATGCCATGGCCATTTCTGAACCCTGCCCTTCTTGTAGGTGAGGGATAGACATTTTGCTAAGAAGTTGCTGAGTGGGTATGTGTTGCTCTTGTCTCTGATAGCTTGTGGCTGAATGTATAAACAGACAAAATAAACTCTTGGTATAAGTGATCTTTCAGGGTAGTCCCACAAATCTATCACATTGGATACCACAATTCCAATGTCAAGGTCATCCTATACTCTTCTGAAAAAGAATAAAATACACAATAAATGAAAAGATATATTTCTTATTTCTTTCCCATTAATTCCACTTAAAAATCATACTAAGTCTAAACTGCCACCGGTATGCCTCTTGTTCTTGTTTGTTCTGGAGATTTAGACCTACCTATCTTTCCCAACCCTCTTGCCCCCTCACCCTCATCCATTTTCAAAATGTCTTCTAGCAGAATGAATACAGATACTCAGGACCAGTCAGGGCATGTCTGATTGGTAGGTTGGGTCCTGGAAATTAATTCAGATTAGGTTCTGCCTAGGATTCTGTCCAAGGAAGTCTGTGCCATGCTAGCATTGCATCCCCAGAGCTGAGGTCTCCATGCATATAGTTGCAAACTTAGAGGTTCCCAGTTCCCAAAGAGGTGAATGGGTGCTTGAGTACAGATGAGTGGGGCTGGGCAGATGGAACCCTAGCTCTCTTTCTGTCATTAATTACTTATGCAATCTTGAGCAAGTTTTTTTGCTTCCTAGGGATTTTTCTGATCGTTTTCTAAAAGCAAAACATGAGAATTGAGGTCTATTCTCTGTAATTCCTCATGAAAATTTCGCAGACTGAGGGGAAGAAATTCAACATTTTAGTTGCAAATGAGTGCCAGAGTGGCTACCTGAATGAGCACAGCCTCCTGCCTTCCATAATGAATCTGTCCTGGAGGGAATGGAAGAAGGAGGGGGTACTTGTCTTTATTCCACATAAGATGCAGGGCCTCTGTTAACAAGCATTTAATCTAGTTGAGAAGTGCAAGGAAAATCACCCTGCCTCCCAAAGTGAGAAATTCATTAGTTTTAGGAAAGAAGGAAAGTTTCCATAGCAACAGTAGTTTGGGAAGAAGTCTTTTTGGTACTACAGGGGGAAAAAAGTCTCAATTATTTAAGTACTTTTCCTCCTCTTTCTCCTGATTCTAGTTGCTCATTGATGACTCATTAGGCTGAGCCTATGGGGGTGGGTGAAAGTCAACAATCGGAGTGAGAATGGAAGAAAGTCAATGAAGAATCCAAGTTTGTTAGTTTTCAGTGTGGAAGGGAAAAGTTGCATTAGGTCATAGACTGAAACAAGACTTGGAGGAAACGTGTCATTTTTTTCTGATCTTCAGAGCAAGCCATTTTCAGGTCCAGAAACCAAAGCTCAGAGAAGGTAAGTGACCGAGTCAAGGTCAGAAAGAGACAGTGACAGCTCCAGAACTAAAACCCAGGCCATTACCTGTGGTTCCCAGCAGAGAATGTTCTTCCACCATGTTCTGTCCTGGGAGTGTCCATGCCCTCCAGGCCCAGACCCACAAGTGGCTGAACAAGTTGGGTTTATTGCTTATACAATGACCATAGTTAAGTCATTTAACATGCTGGACTTGAGTTTCCTTTTCTCTAAATGGGGTAAACACGCTGGCCCTGCTTGAGGCTAAGAAAATAACTGTACTGCTAACTGTACAAACCATAAGTGAGTACCTATAGTACTCACAAGGAGCTCTTGTGAGTACTTTAAATGCATAAGTTCATTAATCCTTACAACAACCCATAGCTAAGTACCATTGGGATGCCCATTTCATGGACAAGGACACTGAAGCAGAAAGGGGTTAAATGATCTGTGCCGAATTGATAAGTGTACAACTTATAAGTGTAAATGCTTTGCCATCACTAAACTGCCATGCTCTCATGTAAATACACTCAAGCCACTGATATTCAGTGATAGTGGGAAGAGATCCACCCAACTCCTACTGAGCATGGACTTGAAGAGGCTGTTCAAGCTCCGTGGTCTTCACTTTACTATTTGGCAAAGTGGGGGGTAGCTGTAAGAACCAGTGATAATAACTACAGCTCACCTGCCAGCAGAGTGCCCGGTGGATATCAGGACTTGGTCAAGGCACCAATGTTGGTAGCATTACCGACTTCTGCCATGTTCCTGTGTGTCCTCTTTGCCATGGGAAGCAATAATTTCCCACTGTTCTTCATCAGAAAATGTTTGTGACTAAAGACAGTGGCAAGATCTGGGATGTACACAAGTAGGTTTAGTTTACTATCACAGAGGAGAGGTGCTAGGGAAGAAGCTGCCATGGGTGAAGAACACAGCTGACCCTTTTGAAATGTGAGCAACCCTAGACCCTGCTGGACCTTTATGAGGAATTCTTCTACTCAGCTGGACTTTATCTCGGCTGGCCTTAGGAACAAGATATAAGGAATTTGTCCTGTGGAGTTAAGGGACTGTCAGGAAAGGCCTAACCAGCACTTTCATAAGTGCTCAGTAAATGCTTGTTCCATCCAATCTGCATTTCTCACAGGCTGGTACCAGTGTCCTCTCTCCATGGGCTCTGCTTGGGAATTCTCATCTCCCATTGCTGGTCCTTCATACTCAAGGAAATGAGGAGGGAGAGACAGAGAGCAACAGTGTTACGGCTATCTTTGGAGGAAATTGTTGTCAATAAGTTTAATCTTGTTAGTCAAATTTTGCAAAACTCTTAGATCCCTTGGATGAGAATCTGCAGGGACAGCTAAGAATTGCTTATCCCCATTCTTCCTTTCTTGATTTCAGATGTTTGTGGGCCTCCTGTTCTGGTTCCAGTTTTACTGTGGCTTCTCTGCATCTGCTATGATTGACCAGTGGTATCTGATCTTCTTTAATTTGCTCTTCTCGTCACTTCCCCAGCTTGTGACTGGGGTGCTGGACAAGGATGTGCCAGCTGATGTACTGCTGACTGAACCACAGCTCTACAAGAGTGGTCAGAACATGGAGGTGAGGGACCCTTCCTGTACCCACTTCCTATCTTGGCCCTCCCACTCTCCATGTTCACCTTACAGAAAGTGCAAGTCTTCACACCTCCCTTTAACTAGACACCCTGGGAGAAATTGTTAAAATTGTGAAAAATGACCAGTGGGATGAAAAAATGGATTCTATCTACTTGATTGTGCCGTACATTAAGTAGAGTGAGGTTATTGGTTGGAGTGACAGTATACTGGTGTATGCATATGCCCAAACCCATCAAGATGTATATATTAAATGTGTGCAGGTTTTGTGTATCAATTTACCTCAATAAAGCTAAAAAAAAAAAAAAAAAAAAAAAAAAAAAAAAAAGAGGGAGCTTTAAAGAAAAAGTATAGTGAGGTGAAAACTGTCTCTACACCAAGAATCTCCAGGAACTCAAGGAAAATCCACTTGGAGTTGAAGTCAGGGCCAGGTGGCTGACTCCTGAGCAGGGATTTTTCTTTTTTTTTAATCTATTTTTTAAAACATTTATTTATCTTTGAGAGAGACAACACAAGCAGGGGAGGGACAGAGGGAGAGGGAGACACAGAATCTGAAGCAGGCTCCAGGCTCTGAGCTGTCAGCACAGAGCTCAATGCAGGGCTCAAACCCACAAACCATGAGATTGTGACCTAAGGCGAAGTCAGACACAACCCACTGAACCACCCAGATGCCCCAGAGCAGGGATTTTTCTAAAACAACCTCCTAACCCCCATCCACAGTGTGATTATTTTGAATGGGACTTAACCAGAAGATAAACCCATGGGGAAAACATTGAGAGAATAAGTGAATTCAAACAAATATAAATACATGTTTACATCAATACACCACATAGATTGACTGCTGATTACCAGCTAGTCCTCCCATCATTTAAAGCCCTCTAAAATTACAGAAAGAACCTAAATGTCCATCAACTGACAAATGGATAAAGACGATGTGGTTTATATATACAATGGAATACTACTTGGCAATGAGAAAGAATGAAATCTGGCCATTTGTAGCAATGTGGATGGAACTGGATAGTGTTATGCTAAGTGAAATAAGTCAGGCAGAGAAAGACAGATACCATATGTTTTCACTCATATGTGGGTCCTGAGAAACTCAACCAGGGGGAAGGGGAAGGGGGGAAAATAGTTACAGAAAGGGAAGGAGGCAAACTATAAGAGACTCTTAAATACTGAGAACAAACTGAGGGTTGATGGGGGTTTGGGGGGAAGGGAAGGTGGGTGATGGGCATTGAGGAGGTCATCTGTTGGGATGAGCACTGGGTGTTGTATGGAAACCAATTTGACAATAAATTTCATATAAAAATAAATAACTCAGGCCCTCTAAGTGCTTCTCTTTGCTAGTTGGAATCATCATATGTATGCATATGTATCCTCCCTATCTCTTACAACTACAACAGTCTCTAATTTAGAACTTGTTTACTTTTGAGTTGACTCCCCTGATCACCCTCATTGACACTGAGTTCCCTCTTAGGCAGCTGGGGGGGTGGGGAGGGGGAGAGGGGGTTGGGCTGCAGGGTAGGAGCTACTGAGGGTCTGACCAATGAGGAGGGCCTTTGCTAGTTGCCTGTCAGTGGAGAAATTCCTGTGCTCAGCTGGGCCTCTTATCCTCAGCTCAGCCTCAGCTGAGGCTGGCCTAGGGAACCAGACACAGGGAGTTTGTCCTGTGGAACTAGGGAACTGAAGGAAGGTCCTAACCAGCACTTTCTTAACTGCTCAGTAAATGCTCATTCAGTCCAGTCTACATTTCCTGCAAGCCAGTACCAGCCCCAGTTGCTCAGGAACTCAGAGTCCAGTACACATTTTGTTACCCAGTTAATGAAAGCTTGATCAGTCCACATCAAGGTCATTTTTGCCCTCAGTGTACAGCTTTTTTTTATTTAATTTTTTTAAATGTTTATTTATTTTTGAGAGAGAAAGAGAGACAGCACCAGCAGGGGAGGGGCAGAGAGAGAGGGAGACACAGACTCTAAAGCAGGCTCCAGGCTCTCAGAGCCTGACATGGGGCTCAAACTCACGAACCATGAGATCATGACCTGAGCCGAAGTTGGACGCTTAACTGACTGAGTCACCCAGGTGCCCCAGTGTACAGCTTTTTTATTTTAACATTAAATACATCCATGATCTAATTTTAAAAGACACTTTTAAGAAACATTCTAAAAGACCCACCAACAAAGGGTGCAAAACCCTGACAAAGTAGGAGTAGAAGGACTCAAATTGGAGCAAGATGTCCAGAATTTGAGCTGCTGTGTCTACCCTAGGAAAATGCTCCCCATAGGCTTTAGAAAATGGTTTTATCTGTCTATTGTTGGCCTAGAACTACTGTAGCTGGTCTTGTATACAGATACTCTCAGTGATTGACTCAGTTGGATGCCTCTGCAGATGTTTGCGTTGTGTTTTTTCCTCAGCCCTCTGGGACCTCAAGCACCAAAAGTCCTGAATTAGCAAATTGCCCTAGGGTGATATCTACAGGCCCTGTAGCTACTGGAAAACATCATTTGAAGAGATGTACACTTCCCTGTAATCTGTGATTGTTTTTGTGTCTCAGGAATATCGGCCACGTACCTTCTGGTTAAACATGGCTGATGCTGCTTTCCAGAGCCTGGTTTGCTTTTTCATTCCTTACCTGGTAAGTTGACACCTGGCAGTCTTTCTTAATCAGCTTCATCCAGTGACCCACAGACACAGGACACTGCTGTCTTTCAGGCCTACTATGACTCAGACACAGATGTGTTTACCTGGGGGACCCCCATAACAGCAATCGCGCTGTTCACCTTCCTCTTGCACCTTGGTATTGAAACCAAGACCTGGGTAAGTGCTGTGGACATGATCCCAAAGGGTGCTGATGCTGCGGGCCCCACACTCCCAGGCAGATTCCATGACATCTAGAAGGTTTCTGAGCAGACAGGTTACTACAAAGCTAGCCTCACTGTGGATAAGGAAAACAAATATGTGGGCCTGCCACATGTATGGAGCCCCTGGTGTGGGAACTGCTGCATCCTGACACAAATACTTCACCTGGGCAGCATTAAGCTCCTTCCTGCCCTCTTTCCCCTCCTCCTCTACCTCATGTCCCACCCCCTTTCCCCCTCTCCTTTCATTCATATCCCTGACTTCCATCTCCCTGTGTCCAGGCTGGTCCATAGATGCTGAAGGCAGCCTCATCAAGGCCTCCTGGCTGTCTGTGCCAAAGACCTGTGTTTTTGCTAAACCCTTAGAACAGCTACCCGCTCACAGTTGACCAGTGCATTTTTATTGAAATAAAAGTCCTGTCTTTCTCTTTTCCCCTTAGACCTGGCTCAACTGGATAGCTTGTGGCTTCAGTATCCTTTTATTTTTCACTGTGGCTTTGATTTACAATGCTTCTTGTGCAACGTGTTATCCTCCATCCAATCCTTATTGGACTATGCAAACATTACTGGGCGACCCCGTATTTTACTTGACTTGTCTCATAGCACCTGTTGCTGCATTGCTTCCCAGGTAGGTATAAGAGACAGTGTCCCTCAAGTCCTAAGTGAGCTCTGTAGCATTCTCAGGCTTTATATATCTCAGAATATATAAACATTCTCAGTGTTTTTACATTGTGCAAGTCTCAGAAAACTCAAAAGCTCTATCCACGGATAACTGTTTTTTATATGCTCTTTCCAGATTGTTTTTCAAAGCCATGCAGGGGAGCCTTTTCCCCACCCAACTTCAGCTGGGGCGCCAGATGGCCAAGAGGTCCCCCAAGAAACTCATTGCTCCCAAAGAGACCTTTGCTCAGGGACACCTCCCAGGAGAACCCAGAACTGAATCGTCTGAACAGAGGAGAATCAGTACCTCTGGATCCCTCTCCCGGGACTGCATCTCACAGGCATCTTGGCATATGCAGCGGCCAGCCTGCTCCCCAGAAGCTCGTGGGGAGCCCAGTGTGGTTGACATGAATATGCCCTTAAGGGAGGACATTCTGCTAGAAGGACTGAGCAGTCAGTCCCCCGGGTCCTCCATGCCAAGGGAGGCTATCCTGGAAGGGTGTCCTGGGGACTCCAAGATGAAACCCACCAGCACCAGCAGGGCAGCCTCCCTGTCGTCCATTTTCAACCTGCCCAACTTCAGCTCATTCAACTGGATTTCCCCCCTCTCGCTGGTCAATGGGCTAGGAAGTGTCTTACAGTTCTCTCGAAGTAGTTTACAGATGGACAAGAGGGACAGTGAATTTTTGCCTAACCCGCCTCAGCCAGACCAGGATCTGTGTGGCTTAAATGGGCAGACCACCAACTATTTCTAGGAGCATCTTCCAGGGACCACAGCTGATGGCAGTAGCAGTGAAAACCTTGAAATGGCCTCTTTTTATATAACTTAGATGTTAATATTATTTATGTTTATTATTTTGCACAGAAGAGTTCTAGTGAGATGTATTTTATGTTTCCAAGGCTAACACAGGAAATGAAAGGTACCAAAAAGAAAATTTATTTTTTAAAAGTTCTAAGTAGAATATGTTGAAAAGGAAAATAAGAGATTTAACATATATAAAAATTTAAAGAAAAGAAACACTTGAAAAGTGTGTTTAGATTTATTTTTTCATCTCATTTTATAAGAAAATGCAATATGATTGAATTTCTTCAACATGCATGACCTTGGTTTTCCCCACTTGAAAATGTGTGTGTGAGCTCAGTGAATCCCAGGTGGGTATGGCCAGTAGTGAGGGGACATGATGGGACAAGAATGCAGGTTCTCTGTCTTTGTCCTTGTTCCTTTGCCCTGCCTCCACCAACCTGGGAGAGCTGGGCTCCGCTTCACCCAGAAAAAGGAAAGAGAGAATGCATGTGTGGAGTTCATCCTAACGTTGAAGTCTACTCAGGCATTCTATAAAGATCACTTTATTGGTATTGTAGGTATTACAGTCCCTATGTAGGGTTTTGCCTGTCAAAATCATAACAAGCAATAAAAACTTTCACTTTGCAAAGAGAATATGTCCTGTTGCCACTGTTGTGTGAAGTTATGAATATGTGACCTAACAACATGTTCTAAGTACCACAGGACACTTTTAGACACCATGCAGGATACAGCAGGGTGTCATGAAAGCTGCACACTGTAACACTAGGTTTATTCCATGGCTCCCTGCACCAGGCTATCAGCACCTACCAGATCCTTCCTTCCAAGGGACAAGGCTTTTTAAGTGTGTATCTTTAGGCATTTATCTTACAAGTCATTATTTCTCTTACTCTAAACAGTGGGAAAAGGAGGAAAAAAAATTAAATATCCAAGATCATTAATGATATATCATTTCCTCTTCAGAGACTTCTCTTTGCACTTTGCCATCAGTTGTGAGTCAGTTGCTCTGTTCAGCCTAGGGATGTGAAGTGAGCATCATGTGACCCTTGCTTAGGTGTCTTGTGGCTGGGTGTCCCTAAGAACAGCAAGGCACAAAAAGTGTGGAGGATCTCAGGAGCAAGCAGTTCCTGAGCACAGCATACCAGGAAGAATGGCTGGTTATCCATTGTGTGTGGCTCATTGAACAAGATAGAAGATGCACCCCATCTAGTTATATAGAAATAAAAGGCAGGGTTCAATGTCTACAAGGCCAGAGACACATTGGGCTTTAGGACCATTGAACTCAGCACCTCAGACCTGGGGCTTTACACCATTCCTCCTGCCCTGAGCTTTCTGAGGTCAGTTTTGTCTTACGGCTGATTCTGTTCATATTGATGACATGGCTGGAGCCATCCCACTGTGCAGAAGAGAGGCTGTTGCTCTCCACATTCTCCCAGAGTTCTGGGTTTCTTCAGCTCAAGCTGCACAGGTTGCAGTTGCTGTCAAAGTGAGGAGGAATGAGTGGAGCTTCTGGCTAGAGCTGGAAGAGAAGTCAGCTTCCTTCCAAGAACCTGAATTGCATGAGTGGACTCTCAGAGGAATATCTGGGTCCTGTTAGAGCGGGGAGAGAGAATGAGGAGTGGAAAGAGTTTCAGCAGCCAGAAGAACGGGAGGTGATACTGTCTCAATCCTCCCCCTGCATGCCTAAGGGTGCCTCATCTGTTCTCATAGCAACACGTACAAAAGGAACTTAGGAAGATGCACAACACTGTGTTTCCTGAGTTAGGGTAATGGTTGTTAGCACAAAGCACAAGAAGAACTATATGCACATTTCCCTGATTATCAGAGTTCAGAATGCTCCAGCTTCCAGATTTTCCTGCACTCACAATTGACCTTTCCCAAGGACTTTTCTCCTCCATAGATAGTTCCTCTTGGAAAATGATATGATCCAGGAAGTGGCTTTGGGAATATGCATACCAAAACCATTTCAGAGAAATAAACATTGTAAAGGGCATTGTCCACTGCTCTGTAGGAAGATGAACATTAATAGAAGCCTACAATGATAATCCATCACAAGTTTGATCTCAAAATGAACATGGTATAGATTGAACTGCATGATTATCTCAAAAAAATCACTGGGAAATATATGTCACCCAATCCTAATTACAAATCTAAATAAGAAATCTGGCTTTCTAAGGCGACTTCTTCCCCTAGTGACAAAATGGCAAAATTAACCATTTGACATTATACACAATGCCTACTTCAAACCCTAAATCAGTTTTAATTTCTTGGAGGCCTCATCTTATGTCCTCTTCACCTTGTATTCTTACCACTAGCATATGGAACCTAGCTCTCAGGGACACCTTGGTGGCTCAGTCGGTTAAGCCTCCGACTTTGGCTCGGGTCATGATCTCGCAGTTGGTGAGTATGAGCCCTGCATTGGGCTCTGTGCTGACAGCTCAGAGCCTGGAGCCTGCTTTGGATTCTGTGTCTCCTTCTCTCTCTGCCCCAACCCCATTTGCACTCTGGCTCTCTCTCAAAAATAAATAAACATTTAAAAAAATGTTTTAGAACCTAGCTCTTAGAATGTCTGATGAACCTAAGTAAATGTTAATAGTGAAAATACTGAAGGCATTCTTGTTAAAATAAGAGCTAAAGGAGAGTTGCTTATTATAAACCAGTTTTGTTTAATATTTTCTGGAATTTCTGGTTAATGCAATAAGACATGAAGTTTTGAGAAGAATGGGTATTGGAATTAGAGACCAAATTATCATTACTTACTTACACATGATATGCTTATATGCCTAAAAAATCTGAATTAAATAGTGCTCAGGGCTAATAATAAGAAGCAATAAATTGACTATGAGGAAAACAAACCCTATAGAGCATAATGGGGGAAGGAAAAGATCTAAGTCACCAACACTAACAAAAATTAAAATACCAGGGGTGGGGTCAAGATGACAGAAGAGCATGGAAGTTGTTTTTTTTTGTTTTGTTTTGCCTCTCTCATCCCTGAAATGCAGCTAGATCAACACCAAACCAGCTTGCACACCTAGAAGACTTACCTGAGGATTAACACAACAATCTGCACAACTTGAACCACAGAACTTGGCAGGTACATGGCACAGAGAGAACGAAGGAAGAGAGCCACGGAGGGTAGGGATCTATTTTTTGCTTCCAGAGAGAGGCCAGTGATTGGGGAGAGTACAGGAAAAGCACTCCCCTGAAAGCAGCTGGAGAGAAAGAAAGTGGAAACACCTGTAAGAGACTTAGAAAGGGAGAAAGGAAAAAGGAGAGGGTTTAAATACCATTAAGTCTCCATAAACAGGGGAGCACAGAGTCTGAAACTCCACAGCTCAATACCTGGTGGAGCTCTGATAGGAAGGGCAAATCCCCAGGAGCAGACAGTGAGGTCTGAGGGGTCCTTGGGCCACACAGGGACAGTTCCCCTGCTGAGAGGGCATTTGGTATAGGCTGTGTGGTCTCCCTACAGTCAAAGCTCCCAGTGATCCCAGAGAACAGCCACATTTGCTGGTGTTGGAATAAGGACATTAAGGGTGAAGCCTGGTGCCAGATGTGTGTTGTGATTTACCATAATCCTGAAATGCTGCTGCTACACAAACACATGAATTTTTCTGGGGCAGGCTGCACCCAGCCACTGTCTCTGGACATCAGCAGCAGGGTCGCATGAACATTCCTAGGGTGGGGCTGGCACCCAGCCATTGCTTGGTGAGACCCTACCCCAAGGGTGTGAGTGGGTCAAAGCTGTAGGGCCCTCAGAAGTTAGGAGTTTGGAAACACAGCCTCATTGGAGATAAAAAGGGAGGTGCCTCCTGGCAGGCAGACGGTTTGGTCGTAGACAGTGTAGAAGCGGGGAGTGGATGGAAGCCAGGTACAAAGGAGGGGTGCTTGATTGCTGGTGGGCAAGAGCACAGAGTTCTGATACAAAAGACTGGGTAGCTAGGTTATGACAGTTTCAGCCCTCTCACGCATGTGCATACATGTGTACACGTGCCACAAAAATCCACCTCAGTAAACTAAGCAGCTCCAACTAGTGGAGAATGGAGCCATTACACCAAGCCTCTCTAACTGTGCCAACCATGACTAGAGGAACACCAAAAGTCTCTCCACCTGCTTGGTTTGCAGACTATAAAGCGTTTCAGAGTTTGATTTCCAGGAGAAACTAGATGTAATTTCAATCATATTTCATTCTGTTCACTAGTCCATCTATTCAATTTTTTTTCTTTTTTTTAATTCTTGAATACAGTAAGAAAAAAATTATTTTTATTTTATTTACGTTTTCATTAAAAATGTTTTTAAATTTTTTACTATATTTTGTACTTCATTGTAAATGTTTTTTAATTCTATTTACTTTCATTTCATTTTATTCTATTATATTCATTTTTTTAAATTTTCAAGTGTTTTTCTTTTTTGTTTCCTTTTTTTCCCTTTTCTTTTCTTTCCCTTTTTACTCTAGTCTATCAAGCTTTTTCAACAAACAGACTAAACAACACCTAGGATCTAGCATCATTTATTTGTTTTGTGTGTGTGTGTGTGTGTGTGTGTGTGTTGTTTAAATTTTTAAATATTTATTTATTTATTTTATATTCTTGATTCTTTTTCTTCCTCCAAAATGATGAAATGAAGGAATTCACCCCCTCCAAAAAAAAGAAAAGGAAGAAATGAAATCCAGGGACTTAACACAGATACAAGCAAGATATCTGAACCAGAATTTAGAATCATGATAATAAGAATACTAGATGGGGTTGAAAAAGCATAGAATCCCTTTCTGTAGAGACAAAAGAAGTAAAATCTAGTCAGGGCGAAATTTAAAATGCTATAACTGAGATGCAATCTCAAATAGATGCCATAGCGGCAAGGATGAATGAAGCAGAGCAGAGAATCAGTGATATAGAGGACAAATATACGCAGTATAATGAAGCAGCAAAAGAGAAGGAATCTAAGGCAAAAGAG